AGGGTGGGGAATAGGGCCTGGGATGGCTCAGCAGTTAGGAGCACCTGCTGCTCAAGTGTGAGGACTTCAGTTCAAATCCTTAACACTCACGTAAAATACAAGCTAGAGTAGCCACACACACTTCTGACCCCAGGGCTGTGGGAGCAGAAACAGGAGTCACTGGGGTTTGTAGCCTGCCAGTCTGGCTGCATGTTCAGTGAGAGACCCTGTCTCAAAAGAATGGGGAGAGAGACAGAGCAGGACTCCCGGCGTCCTCCTCTGGCCTCTGTGTGCACCTGCATATATACCACACACTCCTACATGAAAGAAAAAAAATTAATGGGTGAGGAACAGGGACCTGTGTGTCTCCCCACCCGCGTTGTTCCCCACCCTCTACTCCAAGGAGAACACATTCCTACCCCAGCTGGGGCTGTGCTAGCTGGGTGGACCTAGCAATGACCAGTTACTACCACGCAGACATCCTGTTCTATGCTGATGACAAGTCATTGGGCGGCCGGACTTCATTCTTTTTCACCTAGGTGAATCCCTGGCCCTAAGCAGGGGTGAGCCACATCACCAGCAAATCCAATTGCAAATCAAGCGTGGTATCTCAGGTAGAGGAGTCCTACCCCTGCAGACTCAGATGTCAGCCAATGACCAGTTAGTGAGCTCTGAGGTGGGCTGGACACTGGTCCACCAGCAAGATACTGTCATTTCTGATGAGTGGAGCCTAATTTCTTTCTTTCTTTGGTTTTTTTTCAAGACAGGTCTCACTGGGTAACTCCAGCTGGCCCGGTACTTGCTATGCAGACCAGGCTGGCCTCGAACTCACAGAGCTCCACCTGCCTCTCCCTCCTGAGTACTGAGATTAAAGGTGTGCGCCACCACACCTGACTAAGCTTAGTTTTCTTTTCCAATACTTACAGCCTAGCCAGAGAAATGGGCAAAGAACAAATGTCAGCTCGGCATGGTGGTGCATGCCTATATTCCCAGCAATCAGAAAGCTGAGGCAGGAGAATCAAAAGTTTGAGGCCAGCCTGAGCTACGTAGCAAGACCTATCATAAAAAAAGGAGAAGGGGAGGGGTGGGGAGGAAGGGAGAGAGGGAAAGGCAGGGGAGTGTAAACAAATGCCTAATGAAAGAACTGGCTGAGTGGTCTTGATTGTAACTATTTTGAGTTTGGAGAAAGCAAAGAGCACTGGGGCCTGGAGTGACCCAGGAGGGCAGCCTGGAAGAGGCACTTAGGCTGGATCCTGACAGGTGGAAAGAATTTAAGACCTTTGAGAGAAGAATGAGTGTTTCTAAAAGGAGGCCCTGGTTTGAGCAGAGGCTTGGTAGTTGTGAGCAGCATCATGAAATCAGGCACCCCAGAAGCCAGGGGACAGACAAGGCAGCCAGGCCGGCCCTAGCCATGGCTTTTCTCTCCTGCAGCTGGTCTACATTGGCATCATCAGCATTGGCACGCCCCCTCAGGAGTTCAAGGTCGTCTTGGATACTGGTTCTGCCTACCTGTGGGTACCATCCATCTACTGCTCCAGCCCAGCCTGCGGTGAGCATTCCGACCTGCCCTACCCTTCATCACCCCTCCTACCCCAGCACCACCTGAGGGCCACCTCCTGCCTATCCCTGCAGCTCACCACAAGGTCTTCAATCCTCTGCGATCTTCCACTTTCCTGGTCTCGGGCCGACCTGTGAACGTCGCCTATGGTTCAGGAGAGATGTCGGGATTTCTTGCTTATGACACTGTCAAGGTAATCCGGGAACCAGAGGCTACCACAGGCCTGGCTCCGGGTATGAACACTGCTGGCAGGGTCCTCTGGGAGTGCTTTTCTGCTCTAGCTGGCCACCCACCTTGTGGGGCTCCCGACCCCCAGTAGCCCTCCCCCGACGTTGAGTCCTTTGACCAGCTATAGGTGTCGAGGGCTCAGATTTGTAGCTCCTTCCCCAAAGGGGAACGCTCAGGGAAAGAAGTATGTAAAAATAAGCCACTTGCATGCCCCACATGGTTCGAGACAATAGGCTGGGCACATTCTTCAAAGTAACTACATTAATTTTCTCAACAAGCCCAAGGCAGACATTGCTAGGGCTTCATTCCACACGTGAGTGAACAGAGAGAGCCAGTGCTTTGTCCAAGGTCACACAGCTGGTAGGCCAAAGAGCTGGGGTGTGACTCAGAATAAGTAGGCAAGTGAGAAGTGCTCTCAGCAGACAGTCCTGTTGTCTGGGCCTCTGGGAACAGCCAAGGGGCCTTGAGCTCCCAGACAGGAAAAGCAGAGCACAGATTCAGGAGAGCCATGCTCCATCAAAAGGCTCTTACCCTAGGAGGCCTTGAAGGACTTGAGAATTAACAAATCCCTGAGTGTGCACATGCATGATCACACACACACACATACACACACACACACACACAATTTTTACAGTTCAAATATTCTTGAGAACCCCGGTGGCTTAGTCAGGCATGGTGGCATGGGCCTTTAATCCCAGCACTCCAGAAGGCAGAGGCAGGCTGAGCTCTGTGAATTCATAGCCAGTCTGGTCTACATAGCAAGCTCCAGGACAGCTAGGGACATAGAGTGAGCCTCAATCTTAAAAACAAAACTAATCTCAGCCAAACACCTGGATATAGCAGGTTCCTGCCTCCTAAGGGTGCAGAAAAGGTCACCATGGGCAATGTCCTGAAGGAGATGCCTTGCTTTCCACTTGTCTTCAAGCGGGAACCCTCAGGTTACACTCAGCATCTCAGTTTCTCCATTTGGAGATGACATTGTGGTATGGAACTTGGTGACAACCCACAGCACCACAGGGGAGCTGCCAGCCCACTCCTGCCTGGGATTCACATCCAGGTGGCCCATGGCATGGCCAGAACTCAGTTATACCTTGTGGGTCAGACCATCTCCCCACCCAAGCTCAGCCACGCCATAGCCCTGGTTTCAGAGCCTTATGTAAGAACACCCTCTTCTCTCACAGATTGGAGACCTCATGGTTGTGGCCCAGGCATTTGGCCTGAGCCTGGAGGAACCAGGCACTTTCATGGAATATGCGGTCTTTGATGGTATCCTGGGGCTGGGCTTCCCTGACCTTAGCCTTCAGGGAGTCCTGCCTGTCTTTGACAACATCTGGATGCAAGGCCTCATTCCCCAGAATCTCTTTGCCTTCTACTTGAGCAGGTGAGCCTGTACCAGGTCAGCCCTTCATAGGCTGTCAGTTGCATTAGAAATTGTTGACTCTGAAGGTTCCTTAGACGTAGTCTAGTCCAGGTGTCTGCCTGCTATGGTCTGGACACCAAATCTGGCCCATTATCGGCTTCTGTAAATAAGATTTCATTGGATCACCTGTTCCCATCGTGCCTGTGGCGGCTTTTGCACAACAGCAGAGGCACTGAGCCATTCAGTAGAGATGAATGTCTCCCAGTGTGCACAGCCTCCAGTGCAGACAGTCAGACCCTCTGTGGAGAACGTGCTGACCCCTTTAGTCCCGTCTTTTCAGTCAGAGATGAGGAAACTAAGGCTTTGGGAAGGGCTTTGCCCAGGATGGGCCAGTCTAGTGCTGAGAGAAGCGGGTCTCAAGCTCAGCCTTCAGGATTCTTCCCCATGATGGCCGTCAGTCCATCAGCTCGTCAACTACATTGAAGTTCCTGATGGGCCAAAGATCCAGAGGACAGGCAAGAAGGCAAAGCACAGGTGGCTGGGTCCTGTTGACACTTGTCTCTTCCCCACCAACTGTGGGAGTTGATCCCACATGTTAGAGTGGGAGGCAGATGTGTGTCTCTGTCTGTCTATTCTATGGCTGCGGGCTCTTCAGAAACCTGAGCTCCAGGAATCCCAGCTCTCTAGCGTAACCAAGCATTTCCAGCATTAAGCAAGCAGTTCAATCTTTCTCTGGCCCTTGGGAACACTTCAATCTGGTCCACAATGATTCATTCAACTGCTTCATATTAAGCAGCTGCTAAGCACTGAGTGCCTCTCTGTACCCAGCTCACACAAGGATGCAGAAAAGGGGGAGCAGAAGACAAGAAGGTAGCAAACAAAGGAAAAAGATACCTAGGGACTAACTGTGTCTGTGACAGCAATAAATCAGACAGATAGAACCAATCAGCCTGAGGTGGGGGTGGGGCTCCCTGAGAAGAAGCTAGTCCTGACTGAGCTGGAAAGCACACCCCTAGCTGCCCCAGGCCTCAGTATTCTGGAAAATGACTGTCTAGACAGGTGGAAGTCACACTCCTCTGGATGGATTGTCCTTTAACCATAAAGTAGCTCCAGTTTCCAGAGGGGCCCAAGTGCTCCACAGAATGGTGGGGTGTCCAGAGTCCAGCTCTGTAGCCAATTATCCACATTCGGATCTCAGCTTTGCTACTCACGAGCTGCATAGCTGACCTGGAGCAGGAACTTGGCCCTCCTTGCCTTAACTTCCCTGTCCATGAATAAGTGGCATTCCTGAGAGGGCTGTTGAGCGGGCTTGTGTGTGTTTGTATGGATACACCAGCAACATTAAGCAGTGCTGGCAGGGTCCAGTGTGCTGCGAAGTCTCAGGGACCCAGCCCACTAGTCTCTACCAGACAGTAAACCCTTCCCCCTCCTCTCCTTCCAGCAAGGATGAGAAGGGCAGCATGCTGATGCTAGGTGGAGTGGACCCCGCCTACTACAGTGGAGACCTCCACTGGGTGCCTGTGTCCAAGCCCAGCTACTGGCAGTTAGCTCTGGACAGGTAAGCGCCTGCCTGATTCCTGCTCCTGGATGCTATCTCCAACACACACACACACACACACACACACACACACACACACACACACACACACACACACATGGAGTAATACAGGCCCACGCCCATGCTTGACTGCATCTACCATGACACATACAATTACACACAAAGTCACTGTCATGTACTGACACATGGAGTCACAAGACAGTCACACATAAACAGAAGCCTGAACATGTACAACCACAGAGACATACATACAGTGCCACATAATGACACACACAAACATGGAGTCTCCGGCACCACAGACACACCCCTCCAGGTCTCCTCAGCAGAATCTGAGCCAGAGAGGGCGAGTCAGGCCTGGGTCTAGAGCACTAATAGAAGGACAGGGCATTTACAGACCTGAACAGGCAGGAGTCTCTGGAAAAGGCCCGTGCAGAGTGGGAAAGGTAGGAAGTATGGTCTGAAAGCCCTAAAGTGAAATTGGCCTGGGGGGTGGGTGCAGGGGGAAATCTACCCTGCTGAACAGGGTCACAATGAGGGATCACCATCCTGGTTTGCCCAGGACTTGGGGCTTCCTGTCCAAAGCAGGTGAGGTCCTGGGCCCACAGTGAGATTAACACACCAGAGAACAGACAGGAGCAGAGACAAGTCTCTATCCTCCGATCTGAAAACCACAAATACACATCTCAGCCATGCAGCAGGCTAGGGGTGGGAACAGAGGACCGGGCACCTGGGAACCTGAAACACCTGAGCGCATGGGGAGAAAAACTGAGCAGACTGTGCACAGAGTCACCAGATGGAAGCTTAAGCAGCCTTCGGGGACATGGCAGCCTGGCCATCTGTGTGGGCTTCCTGGGTGCTGCCGGGATGGGAGCATCAACACAGAGGCAATCTGCTGGAGAGATAGCCTCTTATGCAGCAGATGGCTGCTCTTCTCCCTGCTGTGGAGTGCCGGATGCCCACAGGGACATGCCTTCATTCCAAAGCTGTGGAGTTGGTCGGGTACAAGTGTTTCCTGCTGTTCCCTGTTCGTTCTGTTCCTCAATTCATTCATTTATTCATTCATACATACACATGCTGAGCATCACTGCATGACGTGTCTGAGGGAGGCACTTGGTGACTGTGCCGTCCAGTAGTGCATGTGGGCATGAACCAGGGAGTCCTGCAGACAGTGAGTCACCACCTCACTACTTGCTAGAAATGACTAAGGGAAGGTGGAAGGGACCAAGAGAGGGACTGAATCGACTCTGCAGCTGGAAAAGGTGACAATCAGGCTAGAACTTGGGAGATGATGAGAAACCAGCTAGACAAAGGGGGCATGTGCAAAGGCCCTGAGGTAAGAAACAGCTCAGTGCATTCAGCGTCTGAAAGGATGGTGCTGGGGATATAGCTCAGTTGGTAGGCTGCTTGCCTAGCATGTGGGAATCCCTGGGTTTGGTCACCAGCATCAAATAAACTAGGTATGATGGGGTACATCTTTTTTCCCCTGAGACAGGGTTTCTCTGTGTAGCTTTGGAGCCTGTCCTGGAACTTGCTCTGTAGACCAGGCTGGCCTCGAACTCACAGAGATCCACCTGCCTCTGCCTCCCAAGTGCTAGGATTAAAGGTGGATGGGACACATCTGTAATCCAGCACTTGGGAAGTAAAGACAGGAGGATCAGAAGTTCAAGGTCATTCAGACTAGAAAATGAGTTTGAGGCCAATAAGACCTTGTCTCAAAACAAACGAACTGGCTTGACAAGATAACTGAAAGAAAAGCCAGACGTGGTGGCATCCCGCTGTAGTCCCAGCTACTGGGGAGGCTGAGGGAGGAGGGTCGTTGGAGCTCAGACACTGGAGCTCAAAAAACTTGGTAAGACTTTGCTCTAAATAAATAGATAACCATAAATAAATCAGAAAAGGTAAAGTGACCAAGCAGGAGGGTGAGTATGGAGAGCTGAAGGGCTGCTCTGTGGTCAGGGAAGAGGGGTGTGGGTCTGTATGGTAATCCTGGTGTTCTCTTTGGCCCCTGCCTCTCAGCATCTCCATGAATGGAGTAGTGATTGCCTGTGAAGGTGGCTGCCAAGGTATTATGGACACAGGGACCTCCTTGCTGACTGGCCCCCGAAACTCGATCCTTAAAATTCAGAATCTCATTGGTGCCAAGGCCACTAGTGATAATGAGGTAAAGGGTCATGTGGGAGGGCCATCTGGGTTCTCCACACACTACTGCAGTAGTGGCTGGGCTAACCTCCAGCCTCTCCCTCTTTGACAGTACATTCTCAAGTGTGACACCATCAACACCCTACCTGATATTGTCTTCACCATCAATGGTGTTACCTACCCAGTGCCAGCCAGTGCCTACATCCGGAAGGTGAGGAGTTGGGCAGTGGGGCTGTTCTTCAAATCCTGGGAATAGCAGGGATCACCAGGCTTGGACTTCTGTGGAAGAGGAAGGCACACCCTGGTGGTCAGGATATGCCATGACAGGTGCTTGCCCACCAACTGGGCAAGTGCTGCCTGCACAACTATCATGACTGTGAAAGCCAGACTGGTATTCCTTCCTCCCCCCTAAATATTGAGGGGTCAGCAGGGCATGGTGGCACCACTCTGTTTCCCAGGTTTCGGAGGAAAGACAAGGGTAGTTTGAATTGAAGGGTGGCCTGGGGTAAATAGGACCTAGGGAAGCATGCAGAAGCAGCTGGGTTAGACAGATGGGCAGACCAGGGACAGAAAGGAGAGTGTGCCAGCCTAGGAAGCAGTGACTGAAGAGGACGGTCATGCACCACCCAGAGGCTGCCCAAAGGGGAGCAGGAAAGGCCTGCTCTGCAGAGGGACTAGCTGAACCAAGGCTGGGGGTGGGGGGAAATGGTAGAGTATGGAGGGAGCCACAGTGGTTCTTATCCCAGCTGTGTAAGCCATCCTGCAGCAGTTGGACAGAGCCACACAGCTCCATGAAAGGAGGACACCAAGCTGAGTGACAGGGCTGGGCTGGAGCTCAGTTGGTAGAGTTTCTGCCTAGAATGCAGGAAGCCCTCAGGTCGGTCCCCAGCACTGCATAAAGTAGGTGTGCTGTGCACATCTGTAATCCTAGCACCTGCGAGGCTGAGGTAGAAAGATCAGAAATTCAAGGTTACCCTCAGCTACATAGTGAGTATGAAACCAAACTGGGTAACATGACACCCTGGCTAAAAAAAAAAAAAGGCAAGAAGCTGAGCAGCTGGCCGCTGAGTCCACATGTTGCCCTTGTTTTTCAGGAGCATTCACACAACTGCTATAGCAACTTTGAAGAAGGCATAGACGACTCTTCTTCGGACCCTGAGATGTGGGTGCTGGGGGATGTTTTCCTAAGGCTGTATTTCACCGTGTTTGATCGGGCAAATAACAGGATTGGGCTGGCTCCTGCTGTGTGAGTGCTGGGCCTCCTTCAGGGGAGAGCCAGGCACGTGACACAGACATGAGTGCTCATGGGGCATTCCCACCCAGGGGAGCTGACCCCAGCCATTGGAAGCTCTGCAAAGCCCTGTTCCGGGTAGAGAATAAAGATTGCATTCACAAAGCCACTGATGCTAATGGCTGCTCTCTCTGGGTCGACTGAGGTATGCCGGAGTTAGTGTTGTTTTGGTTTAGTTTTTTGAGATAGGGTCTCACTGTGTAGCTCAGGCTAGCCCAGAACTCATTATTGTAGCCTAAGTAGATCTTGAACTTTCAGCACTCCTCCTGCCTCAGTCTCCAGAAGGCTGGGAAGCAAGACTCCACCATGTAGTGTCCTTGGTGAGAGAAACCAAGTCCGACCAGCATGAACGAAGAGGAAGACTTTATGAATGATACTGGGAAGGTGCAGAAGGGAACCGTCACACGCCTGGCAGGCATCTGTTCCCTCCCTCTCTCCCTCCTCCCCTCCCCTTGATTCTCTTTGCCTTTCAGCTTCTTTTTCTTGTACTTTGGAGGTCAAGGACTTTGCTGCCACTAGCCCTAGGATTCCACATCTGAAGGTGTCTGAGCAGGAAGGACACAGATCAGGGGGAAAAAAAAATCCCAGAGTAGCAGGGAGGACTCTGATGGGTCCACCTGGAATGGCATGGCCATCCTGGACCAAATATCTTGGGCAGAGGGGAAAGAGATGGTAAGATTGGCTCAGCTTGGTCAAACGGTCTATCTGTGACCTGGAGGTGACTGCCATTTTTCTTTAGAACCACAGGGCTGGAATGAGGAGGAGTCACTGATAAAAGCGGCAAAGGATGTTCCAGACAGCTAAGAGGGCTTGAGCTGACGCTCCCAATGTCTTTCCCCCGCCCCATTCAGAAAGATGCTTAAAGGATAATTAAACACAGGTTCTGGATACTGGGCCTGGTGGCACAGACCAGTAATCTCGGCACCTGGAGAAGCTGAGGCAGGAGAATCCACAAGCTCAAAGAGTGGCTAGGCTACAGAGTGAGTTCAAGGCCTGCCTGGGTAACAGTGATACACTGTATCCAACCACAATGAGAAAGAGAAGCTGGAGAGACGCTCGGCTTACTGTTCCGTCAGAGGACCAGAATTCAGGTCCCAGCACACAGACTACTGTAATTCCACCTCCCAGGGGTCTGATACCCACGGCTGGCCTCCATTAGCACCCTCACATATGTGCACAGACAGACATACATGTGAATTAAACCTTTAAAAACAAAAAGGTGAGCCGGGCGGTGGTGGCGTACGCCTTTAATCCCAGCACTTGGGAGGCAGAGCCAGGTGGATCTCTGTGAGTTCCAGGCCAGCCTGGTCTACAGAGTGAGATCCAGGACAGGCACCAAAACTACACAGAGAAACCCTGTCTCAAAAAACCAAAAAACAAAAACAAAACAAAAAACAAAAAAACCTAAAAGGTGAAAAGAGGGTGGGGGCTAGAGCTCAGGGGTAGAACACTTGGCTGACCCAAGCCAAGCACTGGGTTCAATCCTTAGCACCTACCCCAAATTAAAAAAAAAAAAAAAAAGGTAGTTAGTTTCTTGAGGTAGGCTACCCCTAAACCTTTCTGGGCACAGCTATTGGAACACTTGATCTGGACTATCAAAATTCGACATACTTATGACCTGGAGACATGGCCCAACAGTTAGGATTACCTTTTGCTCTTGCGGAGGACCTGGGTTTGGTTCTCAGCACCCACGTGGGAGTTCACAACCATCTACAACTCCAGTTCCTGAGGATCCAATGTCTTCCTCTGACCTCTGTGGGCACCAGGCATGCACATGCTATGTATACATGCAGGCAAGACACTCATACGCACAAAATAAATAAATCGTATAAAAATCTTTTTAAAACAAGAGAGGGCATGTTTGATTTGGATGGCTTTTCCCACAGGCCCAGATGGGCAGAGAGCAGAGGAGCAGGAAAAAGAAAGTAACAATCAAGGCCTGTTTCAATGCAGCGCACTGCAAAAGCCGCTGCTTTAGCCTCATCTCCTGTGGTCCATCGTCACTGGGCATCTGCGACATGTCGGGCCTGTGGTTCACCCGGGGTAGAGGCCTCACTGGGAACTTGCCCCTGAGTCCCAGAGACAGATCAAGGGACAGGGACAGCAGAGACCTAATGAAGCCAGGAGGAATGACATGGAAAGACACTGAGAAACTGTCCAGGTTCGAGCAGGAAGGGCTTCCAGGTCACACGCACAGCGTGTGTAATGCTGCAGCTTCTGAAGGAGCCACCCGCTCTCACGTCCTGCCTCCCTACGACGGTCCAGAGATCATCCGTCCTTGGCCCCCATCCCCACCTCCCGTGTCCCTCACTGTGAGAGCAGGTGGTCATCACAGGAAATAAGAGCTGTCATCCTCCAGTCTTATGTGAAGATAATGAATGAATCATATAAAGCCTTCAGAACACAGCCTGTCAAGACGCATCATGAGCTATTGCTATTCACAACCAACCCCTGACAGAGGCCATAGGCAGTGACACCCAGCACGTGACGGGGTTCTAGAGAAGACAGTTCTACCAGAGACTTCTCTTCTACTTTTCTTAGTTTTTCCCCCCAGTGGTCAATGCTAAAATAAGGAGGAGAAGTTAAACATCTTGGTTTCACTTTTTGGTGTTGTTTTGGGGAGGAAGGGATTTTTTTTTTTTTTTTTTTTTGTGGGTCTCTATATAATCCCAGCTCTCCTGGAAACCACATAGACCAGGCTAGCCTAGAACTCATGGAGATCGCTTGCTCCTGCCTCTCAAAGGCTGGCATTAAAGGCATGTGCCACCTTGCCCAGCCTTGTTTTTCTGTTTTTTTGGGACAGGATCTCATGTTGTCCAGGTTGGCCTTGAACTCCCGAACATGATCATCCAACGTCAGCCTCCGGAGTTCTGCGATTACAGGTATGAGCCACCACACCCTAACTAACATTACTTCATAAAAGATAAAGATCTCTAATAGAAAGGAGACCTTCCCTTTGCTGAGTTATTTCTGGATTGACTTGTTTTTCATAGAAACAGCCACCGATGTGGGTCGACTGAGTGCTGATGCCTGCTGGCTATGGTGGGTGCTACACATGAACACTCTTGCTGGCACCACCCTAACAGCTCCTACCCATCCCTGCCTCTCTACGTTTAGACCTATTAATCCCACTGCGACAAATACATTTGTTTATTCACTATAAATTATGTGTTGACTGTAAGGATTTTCCCAGGGAATCTACATATAACAGGAAAAGTTGGAAGCAACCCCCACACCCACCCAGATTCTAAAAGCAAGGAATTAAAAATGGGAAGGCAGCTTCAACTGTAAAAGTGGTGAGTATGAGCTACATGGAAAACAGTAGAGAGCAGCAAGCTCTGGCCTCCTCTCACGTGTGTGTGTGTGTGTGTGTATGTGTGTGTGTGTGTGTGTGTGTTTCCCCCCCCACACACACACACACTTTACTGGCCTCCAACATTCCCATTTCACACTCTAAAGTGCACTTATCTTCTGAGCAGCTGTCCCCTGCCCTGGACTGTGAACTCATGAGGAGAGAGATTTAGCAGCTCAGTGTTTAAAATAGAAATGGGGACGTAACACGTGTTCTGAACACATCTCGAAATGAACATGACATGAAATCAGTGTTGAAAACAAAGCATAATGACAGAGATTACAGACACTCCCAAAACATTCAAGAGTGCGCGGTGACGGGATCACACCGGGCACGGCTCTGCCCAAGCGAGAGTGGGCAGTGCCGACTTAGTGTGCCAGGGCCACTGTGACCAATACCACAGTCAAGGATGGAGGCTAAACAGAAACTTATGTTCTCACAATTCTGGAGGCTAAAAGTCCAGAGTCAAGGGATGTTTTGGCTGTTTCTTCCACTGCCTCTCTCCTTGATAGACCATCTTACTCTCAGGTCTTCTCTGAGACCCCACTGGGTCACCCCTGGGGTCACACACACCTACCAGGCCACTGGCAGAGAGCTCTGTCTGGTGTGTCCCAGGCATGGTGATCCACTCAGACGGGAGACTCTTCCTTCTTTGAGATGTCTGTTGTGGGCTGTTGGGGACCAGGGTTGGGGGTGTCCAGGAGAGCTGGAGATAGTCTTTGAGACTTCAAGGATGTGCTGAGGGTCTCTGAGAGGTCAGGACTGGTCGTCGAAGGTACTTCTGCCTCAGTCAAGTGGGTGGCAGACAGAGGCCACCGGAATGCTGCCCCAAACGTTGAGGAAGAGCTCTCTGGAGTGACAGGTGACCAAGGAGTCCCTGGAAAGGCTGGAGGTAGAGTAGAGGATCCAGGAGAGACCGAAGACCCTGCTGAGGGCTCAGGAGGCTGAGAGGCTCCAGGTTCCCCTGGAAATGTACCCTCTGACTCCAGCGGGGGTGAGGAGGAGGTGTGGGCTACTGGTGGGCCTGGGAATACAGTCTGCACATCAGACAGGTTTGCTCTCAAAAGCAGTTGCAGGAGCTGGAATGTGCGCCTTGCAGGTGATGCTGATGGGGGCCCTGGGCAGGAGCTACAGTTGGCAGGGACTCCAGTGTCTCCACGGAGGCTCCGAGCATCTTTGCCAAGGTCTCCATGAGGGGAGGGTCGCTGCCTTTCTTTTGGAGGAAGGAGGGAATCTAGACGGAGATGGAGAAACAGGGTCACAAGGGTTCATTCTGGCTGACATGAGCCATTCTGGGGATAGACACCCTACTCCATCCTCACAGGGGACTCAGGACACCTGGTGAGGACCATAGTGGGCTGCCTCCGGCCTCCATGGATGGAAGGCTGAAGAGAAACCATGAATGGAAGAGGGCAGTTCACTGAAGCGGCCCTCCAAGTAACTTTTGGAGAGCACATGACTCAGCTTGTCTCCTCTTTGGGTCTTAGTGTCCCACATGGGGAGTGCCAGAGATCAAAGGATAAGGAAAGAGAGAGTCTAATGCTGGGCCTCTGTTTTCCCACTTGTAAAATGGGCATCCCAACAGATGCAAGACGACAGAGGATGTCTTAGCCTAAACACTCATGCTAGCTGTGGACTGTGGGTGTCACGATAGGCCAAGTTGGGTACACCAATAATAGCAGATGTATATCACTCTGCTGTGGGGTGTTACCAGTGGGGAAGATGGATCTGTGGAGCCAGAGGATACAGGAATGCTCTATGTTCCACTCAATGTTACTATGAAGCTACAGCTATCCAAAAATATGCAATCTTTTTTTTTTTTTTTTGAGACAGAATCTCTCTATGTCCTGGAACTTAGTGTATAGACCTGGCTGGCCTTGAACTCACAGAGATCCGCCTGCCTTCTGGAACTAAAGGTCTGTGCCACCTAGCCCAGCAAATTTGAACTATCATCGATTCCCCTGCCTTAGGATGATAGGCATGTGCCTCTCCACCTGGTTTATGTGGTGCTGGAGACTGAGCCAGGGCTTCATGCACACTACACAAATGCAGTGGACTGGACCCAACCCCCATCACCGAGTGAAAGAGTAAATGAATAACAGTCTCAGCCTACCACCTCTCACACTGCAGGGCCGTGGGCCACAGAGGAAAGGAAGGAAAAATGGAATAGCCAGTGACAAGCAGAGGAGGAATGAACCTTCAGAAAGGTTCAACCAAGGGGAGGTGGGTGCTGCCGTGCCCACTGGTATACTCCGAAAGTCCTCTAGAGGGCGACCGCACAGAGCTGAAAACAATGGAGTCACAATTATGATTGAAATGTGTGAACTGGGTGGTATGTGAATTTTGTCTTAAGGAGATTATTATTTTTATTACTGTGTGTGTGTGTGTGTGTGTGTGTGTGTGTCTGTGTGTGTGTGTGTGTCTGTGTGTGTCGTCTGTGTGTGTGTGCCACAGCACACATGTGGAATTCAGAAGACAACTTGGAAAAAGTCAGTTTTCTCCTTCTACCATGTGTGGTATGGGGACCAAACTGGGTCATCAGGCTTCAGGCAAGTGCCTTTACTTGCTGAGCCATCCCACCAGCCTCTTCTGTCATTTCTAAGTCCCATTCTCTTTCAACGAAATGGTGGCGTTCCCTTTATAGAGCTATGGGACAGGAATGGGGTATGGTGAGCAGAACTGACAGTGTGTTCTGGGAAAAGAAACTGGCTCAGCATGTCTCCTCTTTGGGTCCTAGTTTCCTCACTCTGGAATACATGGTGTGCCAGAGAGAAAGGGATAAGGGAAGAGAGAGTCCAGTACCACCAATTAGAAACTTTCTTCCCCCAGGCTCTACCGACTCCATCTGGAAAACAGAGATAACAGAGAATGCCCTTGGGCCTGGCATTCCTGTTGATTGCTCAATGGGTGTTACAGGTGATGCTCAGCAGCTGACTGGCGTGCTGGCGACAGAGTTTCTGGAAAGCTGTGGGCATGATACCTAGCCACTGTAGAAGAGGATGTGGTGGGTAAAAGGAAGCATGATCCAAGTCCCCGGTGGTCCCCGGCACTATTCCCAGTCATAAACCTCCCTGAAGCAGACCACATCCTGGCATGCCTTTGGGAGGTCAAAGATATGAAACAGACATTTCCCAGGAAGCAATGTCATCCACAGGACAGTGGGGAAAAAAGCACACCATCATTCTAGAAGTTGAAAGTACGTAAAGAAGACACATCTCTGCATAGAGTAAACTGGAAAAATTAAAATTCTCAACAGTTTTGGAGACTATGGGAACCATCTGCATCATTGTGCTTCCTCGAAGCTTCTTCAGGACCAGGATATGGAAATGTGTTGTGGGAGACCCCGATCTACTCCTGACTCAGTTGCCCCCATTGTCAACCACACGGTCCTGACACAACCCACAAGATTTGAATACAAATGTTGACCCAGTATTTTCCACAGGAGGTATATTACAGGTGTATGGAAGGAAGGAAGAGACATGGAGAGAGGGAAGAAAGGAGGCCCAGAGAAATAGGTATACATGAAAGAAGGGGGGGAGGGCGAGAGGGAGGGAAGGAGGGAGGGAACTCAATGAGCTGGGAAGGTAGGAGGTAGGAAAACCAGCTCAAGAGAATACAGCAGTTCCCCCTTATCCAAAGTGTTCTTCTCTGACACTTAAGTTATCGTGATCAATTGCTGTCCTTAAATAGTACATAAAAATTTTCAGAAGCAATCGTGTGTCTTATTAGTAGCATGATGATCTACAGTATCCCACCTGTCTTGCCCAGGCTGTAACTTACGCTTTGTCCAGTGTGCCCACACTGTCTGGGCTACCCGTCAGTCAGTCAGTCACTTAGGGACCTCTCTGTCCAGTGTGTCCACACTGTCTGGGCTACCCGTCAGTCGGTCAGTCACTTAGGGACCTCTCTGTCCAGTGTGCCCACACTGTCTGTGCTACCCGTCAGTCGGTCAGTCACTTAGGGACCTCTCTGTCCAGTGTGTCCACACTGTCTGGGCTACCCGTCAGTCAGTCAGTCACTTAGGGACCTCTCTGTCCAGTGTGCCCACACTGTCTGTGCTACCCGTCAGTCGGTCAGTCACTTAGGGACCTCTCTGTTCAGTGTGCCCACACTGTCTGGGCTACCCGTCAGTCGGTCAGTCACTTAGGGACCTCCCTGTTTACAGTGCTCTCATGTAGGGTTTAATTCCATCCACAGCTTCAGATATCATTTGAAGTCTCACGGATAAGGGGATCTTTCTTAAGCAGCCAGCTGTGGGCCACGTCAAGACTTCAGAGCTGTAGAACAGAGCACTGTGTCCTGTTTGTAACTGTGCAATCAAGAGCCACGTGGACTAGCCGAGTCTGGTGGCCATGACTGTAGTCTCAGCACTCACAAGGCTGAAGCAGGAGGTTCCTTAAATCCAAGAACTTAAGGCCAGCCTGGGCAACGTAAAACTCCTGTCTCAAAAAAGGGGTGAGGCTGGGGATGGGATGGCTTGAGGCACAGCACTAGCCTTGCCTGCAGAGGACTCTGAACTTGATCCATAGCACCACACACAGGCCAAAAAAAAGGGGGGGGGGGGCAATACAACACATTGTGGCATTTGGTATTTCGTAGTAAGTAGCCCAGAAGCATCAGCCTGCCATAACTGTGTGACCTTGAGCATGCTGTCTGAGCCCGGGTCACCTGGGCAGCCCTTTCTAAGGCCTATGTCTCTGAGAAGTTTTGCAGTGGAAGATGGTGGAGAAAGCTTAGGCTCAGGGCCTGCTTACCTGGGCAGGAGGGATCAGTACAGACCGGCTGGCAAGGGACCTTTTCGCAGCTCACCTCTCCCAGCTGAAGAAGCAGAAAGACATCGTGAGGAAGCCCAGAGTACCCTGTTCGCCTGGAGCAGAGCTCTCCAGGGCCTCTTGTTCCAGTAGTGGGACACACAGAAAAGTGTTGGGTAGAGGTCGAAAAGCCTGTGCCCTGGTCTAGATGACAGGTAATGCCAACCATGGCAAGACACCTTCATCTGGACTTCCAAAGAGGGATGGGTGTCCAGAGGCAAAGGTGAAAGTGAACAGCAGGATGGACAGATTAGCTCGGGGCCCCGTGTATGGCGTGGAGGCCTGGCTGGCAGCCCCAGACCCTCAGGCCCTCACCTGGCAGATGCACCGGGTACAGGGCTCGTCATCCAAGGTGAACACCTGACCATTCACTACCTTTCTCCCTTCAAAGTTACAGTCTGCAGAGTCAGAGAAGACAGGATGATGAGATCCAGGTCACCTGGGAGACTTGTGTATGGGTGGCTTTTCCCACTCACCATGGCACACAGGACAGCACTCTCCATCCGGGTGGAAGGGGTAGGTACAGGTGATGGGACAGTCCACAGGTGAACAGGCCACCGAGCCCAGCTGTAGAACACAGGACACACATGGCCCCTCACTGGGGACAGCTAATATAATGCTAGGGAAAGCCCAGGGCTCCCAGCAAGGCAGATGCATCTAGGCAGCCACACTGGCCATCCATGGTAGGATGGGGGTTAAGGGGTGACATTTTCTCAACTAGGGTCCTTCCTAACTTCTCAAGAACAAGTCCTGACTTCATCCATGAGGTCACCTGACAATAGCGACCCATTGAAAAAATGCAGAATTATCCAGGAAAGCTCAGCAGAAAAAAAAACGAAAGAGAGCTGGGATGTGGCTCAGTGGTAAAGTGCCTGCCCTGGGTTCCATCTGCAGCATTGTAACAAAAACAAAGAAACTCAGAGAAAGGACCAAGAAGCAACATTTCCCAAAGCATATGGCTGAGAATGTACAGGGACAGTGGGCAGCGGGTTCCTCAGAGGCCACAGAGACATTTACCCTGCGTTTCCCAATCCATGTGTTGACCTTGTCCCTTTTCACATATAACCAGGGCTGAGGCTCACTGACACCCAACAGACACACTGCCACGGTACACAGCAGCTCTAGCCAAGCATTAACTTATCAGCAAGATAAGCGATGGGACTTTTGTCCTTCATTCTCCAAACATGAAAATTGAGTGTGCACTAACCTAACAGGTTTTTTAGAACGGGCAGTGGGCTGCCTGGCTCTGGGGTGTAAGTGTGATCCAGGAGTGTGTATACTAAGGTTCAGTGCCTGGCCCTTCGACTAGTCATGAAATCATGAGCAAATGACTTCGTCTCTGGAGTCTGGTTCTCTCATGAAGAAATGATGAGATTCACTGAGTTTGGCAACCCAGAAAGCAAGAATACTGGACCAGCCAGAGTTTTTAAATGATTCCCTGACCCTAGCTAAAGAATCATGCTAGACAGGCTGTGGGAAGATGGCTTTCACCAGGACCAACAGTGAGCCTTCTCTGGGGTTCAGGAGCTGATGCTGGGGGTTGGGGTCCGATTGGGTGGTGCATACCAGACAGATGCAGCTCAGACAGGGGTCCAGCACTGATGGGAAGGTCTCGTTGTTGTAGAAGATTCTACCTGTGTAGGTGCAGCCTGCCAAACAGAGCACGTGGTGAGCAGCAGCCAGAAGGGTGAAGAGTGGCCAGGTGCCTGGCCAGGGCAAAGGTTGGAAGTTTATCTGAATAGCAAGGGTCAGGCCCAGCACCTCCCCAGAGGTTAGGCAAGCAATAAGCATCCTTGGAATGGGTCCTGGCTGCTTTCTATGTCTGGATTAAGAAAGGAGGACATTACAGAATCTTGCTTCAATGTCTTCATAACGGAGGTGGGGTGTCACTGAGGAACTTGGGGTGGGACAGGCAGATGACTCATGAGACTCAAGGTGGTGCTGAAGACACACAAGGTTTCTGTCCCTCTCCAGAGTCAAATGACAAAAATTCCACCTCTCCAAACCAGTCCCCCCATATCCCGCATTCCTGATGTCTCCAAAGACTCCAAGTGCACAAGGCCACTTGGATGAAATTGTTCATATACTGGTAAGTACTAAAGCACATGGTAGCACAAGCCTGTGAATTCCAATAGTCAGGAGCTGAGGCAGGAACATGGAATTCCAGAGCAGCCTGGGCTAAAAAGCAAATTCTAGGTCAAGATAGGTTACATAGTGAGACCTGACTCAAATGAAAAAAAGTGTAATATATATGTGTGTGTGTGTGTGTGTGTGTGTGTGTGTGTTTAATTATATATATTTATGTGTAATATACAATTATATATATTATTACAATATAACAGATTATATAAATACAAGTACATCTATTTAATATATAAATACAATATATATAATTGCATATATATATAAAATAAAAGCAAGTGAAACAGTAAGAAAATATTTTCATTTTTATTTCATCTGTTTTGTTGTTGTTTGTTTGTCTGTACTTGGAGTGCAGGGATGGAGCCCAGAGTCTCCCGTACTCTAAGCAAGCCCTTTCCCACTGAACTATACCCTCCAACAGAACATGGCTTATTTTATCTTATTGTTTGAGACAGACTCTTGCTATCCAGCCCAGGCTTGATCCTCCTGCCTCTCTCCCAAGTACTGGGGCTCCAGGCATGTGCCAACAAGCCCAGCTCTTAGGGGGAGTTTTTTTTAAAAAGAACAAAACACGCATACCACACATCTATCAAAAGGTGCACACATCACAAACAGGGACTAGAAATACATAACCACAGGGCCGACAGTGGTACATGGGCCTTTTTAATGTAGCCTTGCTTTATAGCTTTTCTATGACAAATTTAATTTTGAAATAGTGGAAAAGGTCAAAATTTCTGTGAAAAAAAAATCTAGCCTTATTTGTGTTTTCTCTCACTGGCCCAGTTTTCCAGGTCTGGTTCCTATGCCAGCCCACGAGGACTGTAAGCTGGGAATTTGGATATGTGAGTCCAGCATGGAGGCCTGGCCTTAGACAAGCCACTTCACTTCTCTGAGCTGTGGGTGCCACGCAGGTTTCTGGGAGAGGGAGGGAGCTGAGGTTCCCATGGTGCTCAGTAAGGAGGGGCCTGAGACAAGGCCAGCAGGGCCTCCAGGAGCCCTGAGAATTGCTGTAGAGGGTGAGGTAGGGCCTCGCCAGGGTTACCTGCTGAACAGTCAGGACAACACTGTCCAGGAATCCGGATGGGGTGAGGGCAAGAGTCCACGCAGTCTGTCCTGTGGCAGCTCACAGAGCCATTTGCCTGAAGGAAGAAGGAACTTCACCAAGACTTGAGACAGCAGGGCCTGCTTCCCCACACCAAAGGAAAGACAATGCCACCCACTGTCCGTGGCTTGCCCTCAAGGATGCCAGGATGAGGCTGGGGAATGGTGGGTCCTCCCCACCCTTCCCCCATGCCAATGAGGACCAGCTGCTTAGCACAGGTGATCGAATCTTCAGGAAGGTTTTGCCTATCTCAAGAGAGGGAAGTCAGAGCTGGGATTCTGTCCCCTCTGCTTCCTATCCTATCCATCAGCAGCAGCTGACGCCATACCATCACCCCCTCCACATTCTTCTCAGCATTTCCCTGGAACCCTGGCTCACCCCAAACCTATAGAGAACAATAAAATCCTATTTTTATAGAAAACTATTCCACCGGAAATGCCTATTTCAGAAGACCAAAATGCCATACGAGGATTCTTCCCTTTCTCTCTTTCTCCCCTCTCCTCTTAAGAATTTGAACATTTATGGCCTCTTATTTTACTCTCTTGTAAAATGAGTGCCAGGAGCAGTCATGAAGGAGAGCCTCAGCAGAAAGTGGATTTTACTCTTCCTTCTACTCCAGAAAACACGCTCAAGCTGGCATGTTATGAAGCATCCTAAACAGTCATCTGGAAATTAAGATGTGGGGCCTGGAGACCCTGCAGGACTGACAGGGGCTCCCTAATGATACCCCACCCCCACCCTGCTTTATTTAGAGGAATAAAGCCCCCAGGAACCCAAAGCACTCAGAATGGAAAGGGAAGCCTTGTGCAGTTTCTTAATAAACAGTCATGTTTGACTTTCAAATGCACACTCTTACTTAGCTATGACAGGGTGCAGGTCAAGATAAAACATCCTGACACAGAAATGGTACCCCAGCCATCCTCTCTGAGGCCCCTGAGGCAGACCCTCACAGCAGCAGCTCCCTGCCCAAGCAGGGTCACCCACAGCATCTAAGGCAGCCGCCAAGCTCTACTGCCCTCAACCATCCACTGAAAGCAGAACAAGTGAGTCCCAACCTGCCTAGGAGGGAGTCTAAGGCCAGGCTGGCAGTGGCCCTGCCTCTCTCGGGGAGGCAGAGGGACAGCCAGGTAAAGCAGCTGAAGGCGAGCAGGTTGTCATTCACCTGGCAGATGCATAACTCACAGGGATCACCAGGCGACCAGATCTGTCCAATTGGAAACTCAACCCCGTTGTCATCTAGAGAGCAGCCTGGCAGGAGAGGTACCAAAGGGAAAAGACACTTGGCAGAGAGCCAGCGATGGAGCTCAGTCATAAGGCATACTCAATGGACCCACAACACCCCCAAAACAGACAAAAGACAAAACACAGCAGGCAGGAATGCTCCCCAGAACTACAGTACCACCCTTCTAAAGATGAAATCCCATGCTCACAGACATACACACCACACAAACCATATACACAAATGTTTGCTTAATAGATATGCAAATTTTTACATAAACATATCACACAGACAAACACATACATTTCCAAAATGATGGCCTCATACTCAGCCACACACTTAGGGACCCACAAACTTATACTGACAAAACACAACCCACAGACATACACAAAATACAAATGTATATTTGCAAATGCATACACGCATACATCATACACACTGGCACACTCACAAACAGACACCCTCAGAGACAACAGGGTCACACACACTTACACAATCCAAACACAGACTGTTCAACTGGCACAAAAACATATACATCAAATTACACACACATCGTAGGGAAACTGGTACAAACACACACAGATGTGCATTCACAGGTATATCATATAAAACTCCAGATATATTCATATACAGATGCCATTCACACACCAACACTTAAAAGGCATATCCAACTATACATACTTACAGGTACACTCATTAGCATACTCACACACAAACGTACACACTTCCAAAGTCACAGCTCACACACAACGCTTTATAAAACACACGTGTTCATACCACTAACACACACACACATACCATCAGTCCAAGTGAGGGAAGCCCAGCCTCCCCCCTGTGCACTTGAGCCCTGTGTTGGGGGCCAGGCAGCCAGATCTCACCTGTGGTGGGTGTAGGCTCCCAACAGGTAAAGCAGCACTGTCCTGGGCCCAGCCACCACTCCTCCCGAGGGCACTCTAGTTCTGGACATGGTGTAAAGGAGCACTCCTACCTCCCCGTTCTGGAAGACAGACAAAAGCACACAGCAGTGACGGTGGCTCCCAGCCTGGGCCACTATAGGGCTAAAGAGAAGGCTGGTGAGCAGCCACTCCTCCAGACCCTCCAGTAAAAGTGAATGTCCAGGGAAGCAGGAGCAGAGAAGGGTGAGTCCTTTAGGGAGCTAAAGGAAGGTCCTGCGGTGTTCCTCCTGCCCTAGGTGAGTCTCTACCATCTCTCATCCTCCCTCTTCACCCTAGTTCCCATCGAGACTCCCTCCTACTGCCCTCCCACTCCCACCCACTCCCACCCCTCTAATCTACTCAGCTCCATAGCTAGGAAACTCTCCCAGATGTCAACCTCATCATGCCACCCCACCACTCCAAGCTTTAGCGGCTCAGCCCAGTCCAGTTTCTGCTGTCCGGGAGCCTTTCCCACCCATCCGACACAGACATCCTCCTGAGACAGAGAGGGTGCTTGGCCTCCTATGCACGGGCATGTCCGATGCACAGCTGTGAGAGCCCAGCTCCCTCCTCTGGCATCTCTGCAGCACCATCCACGGTGCAGAGCTGCCCATGGGATGGGTCGAAGAGGTCTTCCCAGAATCCACTCTGCCCTCTACTACTTCCCTGGCCCATTTCTCCTGAGGGCACTCACCAGCTGATAAACTACCGTATAAAGACCACATCGCCCAGCCTGCTTCCAGCCGGAAGACACATCCTGAAAGCCCACCTGCTTCTGCTCCAACCAGAAGGTACAGCACCCTCAGCACCTCACCTGACTAGTCCTGGTCACCCCTCAGGTCTCCACTGTCCCTCTCTCCTCCCAAGAAGGTTTGAGGATCCTGTGCCAAGCTATAGGCTTGGCATGCCCACCTAGGCTATAAGCTGCCAGTCAGAGGAGGCTGGCACTCTTCTGGGCTGAGGGTGTGTGTCCCCAGATCATAGCAAGTGCTCTACCAATACTGAAGAAGGACTGGCTTCATAGAGACTGTTGTAAGGCACGGAAGACTCCTACAGGGACTACTGCCTCAGTCTCTTCCTTTCGATGCATGGCAGGTTATCGTCTCCATGGCAAAGCATCTTGGGTAAATTCCTATGCTGCCCACCCAACTTCCTTCCCATCTTCCACTGGGTCAACAGGTGCAGGAACCTCACAGCCTACCTGGCAGACACAGGTAGTACAGTCGTCACCACCTCCACTGAACACAGCCCCGTCCGTGTACCATCGGCCATGGAAATAGCATCTCCCTGCAGGAGGCAAGGGCAGAAGAAGGGCTTTCTGGATTGAGCAGCTAGAAGAGTAGACGGATGGGCAGGGAGGAGCAGGGCAGCTGCCCCTTGCCAGAAACTCAGAGTGCTTCTCAGCCTCCAAATCCCAGACCCTCACACAAGTTACTACCTAAAAACCCACAAAATGAGGGTCATTACCCCAGAGGCAGCAGGAGCCCAAACAGCGACACAGTAAGAAACTCAGGAGGAGCTGTGTCAGAAGATGGACAAAGAACATCTGAAGATCCTCCCCAGGGTAACACCAGCCCCAAAGCCTGGCAAAGTGTATATTCATTCAGGTTGCCTGGGGGTTCAAGTCCCAGGTCAACATCACAGAGCTGACTTAGAGCAAAAAATATGACTCTCTTGAAGCTACTGCCCCTTCACTGTGCAATGGAACTGACAGTTCCCACCTCACAGAGTTCACACTAACTGTGCAAAAAGAACTTCAAACAAACAAACAAAAAAAAAACCAGTTGGGCGGCGGTGGTGCACACCTTTAATCCCAGCACTCGGGAGGCAGAGCCAGGCGGATCTCTGTGAGTTTGAGGCCAGGCCTGGGCTACAGAGCAAGATCCAGGAAAGGCGCAAAGCTACACAGAGAAACCCTGTCTCGAAGAAAAAAAAAAACCCAAAAAACAACAAAAACAAAAAACAAAAAAAAAACCAAGTCAGACATGGTGGCGCACGCCTTTAGTCCCGGCACTCGGGAGGCAGAGGCAGGCAGAGCTCTATGAGTTGGAGACCAGCCTGGTCTACATAGTTAGTTCCAGGACAGCCAAGGATACATAGTGAGACCCTGTCTCAAAATAAATAACAAGACAAAAATAATAACAACAACAAAATGTCTTAAGTTAGAAAAAAACTGCATGCCCGGCCTGATGGCACAGCCTGTATCCTCAGCTGCATGGGAGGCTGAGGCAAGCAGAGGAACTCTCAGGGCCTGACTGGGTTCTAGAGGGAGTCCTGGGCCATCCAGGGAACCTAATGAGGTCCTCTCTCAAAATAAGAAGTAGAAAACGGGCTGGGGATGCAGCTCGGTGAGAAAGCACTCGTCTAGCTTGCACAGCTCCCCAGGCTCAATCTCTAGTACTATGAAAAAAAAAATTTAAATTTTTAATTACATTTATTAACTGGGGGAAGGGCATGATGTAGAGATGAAAGGTCAACTTGCAGAGGTCCGTTCCCTCCTACCAGGCGGGTTCCAGGGACCAAACCCGGGTTATTAGGCACCTTTACCAGTTAAGCCATCCCACTGGCCCAAGATGATGTTTTAAAAGAATGCCAGCTCTGAAATCAGGACGATTTCAGTTGAAGTTCAGTCCCATCACTAACTGCTGTGTGTCTCTAGACAGTGACTTGACCTCTCTGAACTTGCTTTTTCATTAAAAGGGAGCAGTGAGCGGTATCCTCTCATTGTAACAACTCAAGGACTCAACAGGACCAAGAGATGGCAGGTACCCCCAAATAGCTCGGGACAACATGCTGGTGGGGAACATCCCCTCTCGCTGATGAGGTCATTGTTAGACTTAACTTGGGAAACAGAGAAGGAAGTAGATAAAGTATATGGGAGCTAGGGGGATATGTTAAGACAGGCTGGCCTTTAGGGGGGGTGTTAAGACAAGTTGTCCTTCAAGTGAGAGCTTTTTTAGGGGACTTACGAACGTCACAGGCAAACAAGCAGCCCCTGTGCAGTGTAGTCCAAGAGAGACTAAGTTCTGCTAGGAAAAAGAGAGGTGTCCATTTTCAGGAGAGGGGCATGTCTCACCCCACAAGATGGCAGGCTTAGTTAGTGAGCAACCGTGTGATGGGGGTAAGGGCTACGAGTGAGGGACTGATCTGGGTGCTTCTCCCTGCAGCAGCCTTAGCCGCATAGGGCCTGCTTGCCTTGGTTCCTGAAAGGCCTGGGTTTTCTAAGTCATAGGAAACCATGTTCTTATGTCACAGTGGGTTAAAAGAGATTCCTCCATACCCAGGGGCAGATCCTTGCCAAAAATGGGCTCATAGCCCCTTCTGCCTACACTCAAGATGTGTCCTGCCAGGCAGTGGTGGCGCACACCTTTAATCCCAGCACTCGGGAGGCAGAGCCAGGTGGATCTCTGTGAGTTCGAGCCAGCCTGGGCTACCAAGTGAGTTCCAGGAGAGGCGCAAAGCTACACAGAGAAACCCTGTCTCGAAAAACAAAAAACAAAAAACAAACAAACAACAAACAACAAAAAAAAAAGATGTGTCCTAAAGGAAGGGACAGGGGAAGGGCCAAGCCATGAGCCTAGTCTGGCCAAGGTGCACATAGGAAACAGTCATTAAAAATGAGTTGTTGAGTTATATCATTGAACCTGCCCTTTTAAAGCAGGAGTACCCTTTCCTGGCCCAATACACAATCCAAAGGCACTTGCCACCCCACACCCCGAACAACAAGAAATTCCGAAGAGTCACCTACCTGGCACACAAGTACAGCAATCTGACTGTGGGGGAGTCCTTGCAGGGACCAGGGGGACACTCCGGGGAGATACAAGACACATTTCCAGCCTGAGGAAGCAAAGGATAGTAGTGGGGACAAGGGTAGGGCCCAGGTTCTCTGTCAACCACACCTTTAATCCCAGCACCTGGGAGGCAGAAGCAGGCAGATCTCCATGAGTCTGAGGCTAGCCTGGTCTACATTGCAAGTTTTAGGCATCAAGGGCTACTTGAAGACTTTTCTTTTTCATAAAGATAGATAGATAGATAGATAGATAGATAGATAGATAGATAGATAGATAGATAGATAGATAGATGACAGATAGGTAGATAGATATAGATAGATAGATAGATAGATAGTAGATAGAGATAGATGATAGATAGATAGATAGATAGATAGATAGATAGATAGATAGATAGATAGATAGATAATTTTCAAGTTAGGAGCTGGAGCTGAGAGATGGCTCTGTGGTTAAAAACACTTTCTACTCTTCAAAGGAACAGGCGTTTGGTTCCCAGAACTCACATCAGGCAGCTCACAATAGCACTTAACTCTAGCTGCAAGAGATCTGATACCTTATTCTGGCCTCTGTGAACACCCCTGCACACATACACAATAATGATGGAGTTGGGAAATGGCTCAGTGGCTGAGAGCACTGCTTGCTCCTGCAGAAGAACCAGGTTCAGTTCCCAGCACCCCCAGGGCATCTCACAACCATCTGTAACTCCAATCCCAGGGGATTTGACACTCTTTCTTCTAGCCTCCAAGGGCACCAGGCACCAAGGGCACCAGGCATAGACACATATGCAACCAAAACACTCATACACAGGAAAATATATAAAATAAATCTTTTTTTTTTTTTTTTTTTTTTTTTTTTTTTTTTTTTTTTGCCTGCATGTATGTCTCTGCCAGGTGCCAGATCCTCTTGAACTGGAGTTACAGGACAAGTCTGTGAGCTGTCATGTAGATGCTGGAAATCAAATCTGGGTCCTCTGAAAGAGCAGCTGGTGCTCTTAACCACTGAGCCATCTCTCCAGCCCATAAATAAAATTTTTAAATAAATAATTAAAAAGTCAAAATAATAAAGTACTTTTTTTTGAGAGAGAATCTCACAGCCCAAGCTGTCCTGTCTTGGAACTCAACATGTAGACCATGATGGCCTCAAGCTCACAGAGATCCGCCTGCTTCTGCCTCTCAAGTACTAGGATTAAAGACATGCCACCATACCCGACACAAAATACATCTTTAAAAACAATTTTTGAAATTAAAATTGAAAAAAAAAACAACTCTCCAACATCAGGGTCATCTAGACCTGAGTTCCACTGTCTATGTCTGTTGCAGAATATTAATTTGACTATGTAAAGATGTGTTATATTTGTTTATGTTGTGGAATATTACTTTAACTAGGCAAAGATGTGCTACATTTGTTTATGCCCCATTTGTTTAACTATGTACAGATGTGTTACATTTGTTTATACTGCATTTAACTATGTAAAGATATGCTGCTGTTTTACCTTGCCTGCCTAAGTAAGGCACATGATTGGTCTAATAAAAAGCTGAATAGCCAATAGCTAGGCGGAAGAGGGACAGACGGGGAAGGCAGGCAGGGGGAACAGGAGGAAGAATTGGGCTGAGAGAGAATGGGGAAGAGAGAGAAGACAGCCAGCAAGACATGGAGTAAGAAATACAGAATGAAAAAAAAGATAAAAGTCCCAAGGCAAAACATAGACGAAAAGAAACAGGTTAATTTAAATTATAAGAGCTAGCAAGAAACGAACCTAAGGTAAGGCTGAGCTTTCATAACTAATAAGTCTCTGTGTCATGATTTGGGAGCTGGTTGGTAGCCCCAAAGATTTTAGGCAAAGGATATCACATCTCCAGGAGCTTCTACCATGGGTCTCACTACATAAAAATGGGAGAATGCACACAAGTTCCTAGTCTCTGCATGCTTAGCATACAGGAAGAGCCAGATGAATGCTACTGGCATTCTGTGTGTCCCTGATCATACACCACCCTATCCACCATTGTGGCCAGCTGTGTTTAAAGATGGACAGAGGGTGGCAGCAAGAACTGTAGACAAAGCCTGTAATAGACCTCAGTTCAAACCTCAGCTCCACCAGCTCCCAGCCTCCATCTTTGAATCTGTAGATCAGGGACAGTATTGGCTGGGAGCCTCGGGTTAGGGAACAGAGGAAGGGCACCAAGCCTGTACCTGACATACAGTGGGTGTTCAAAATCAAATGCATACAGGCAGCATCTGGCACAGTAAATGCTTGTGATTACTCTTTGAGGAGTGAACTTGCCAGAAGCAGAAATACTCTTAAGAGGGCCAGGGAGCTTAGTGAGGCTGCTCTCCCCTACATGGACACCTTTGTTGTGGTAATAAATATTTTGCCTGAGAAAACTTCCTGAAAACTTCCCGCCGGGCAGTGGTGGCACACGCCTGTAATCCCAGCACTCAGGAGGCAGAGGCAGGTGGATCTCTGAGTTCAAGGCCAGCTGGTCTACAGAGCTAGTCTAGGACAGGCTCCAAAGCTACAGAGAAACCTTGTCTCGAAAAACCAAAAAAAGAAAGAAAGAAAGAAAAGAAAAGAGAAAACTTCCCTGGTGAAGTTCCTGAGACAGTTCCACCCCTCCCCTTCCCAAACAGGTGGACCCTGTTCTGCCCTGGCTCTCTCATGCACAGCATACACAGCCTCCCAAGTCCGTTGGCCAGAGCTTGGATGCTTCTATGACCCTCTCAAGCTGTTTAGACCCAAAGCCCTGAAGCAAGCTCCCTTCAACATCCAGTATGTACCACCCCCCATCCCCCCCCACCCCCCCTACCCCCGCCTTGACAACACTCAAAGGCTAAGAAAACAGCCAGTGGGGATCTCAGGTTGCTCACCAGACAGACGCACACAGTGCAGTTCTCCTCAGGAGGGGAAAACACATCCCCTTCTTCTCGGATGGCACCACTGTGAAAGCAGCCTTAGAAAGACAAATGAGATGGGGACATCAGCCTCCTCAAAGAAGAGGAAACCGAGGTCTCTACTTTTCCAGGTAATTGTTAGGATCCTGCTCTCACTCCTGCACATGCACAGTTCGGGGTCTTGCGTCTTACATCATCAGTGTTGACTACCTATGTATGTGCCTTAAAAAGCTGGCTGCAGGGGCTGGAGAGATGGCTCAATGGTTAAGAGCACTGGCTGCTCTTCCAGAAGACCGGGTTCAATTCCCAGCACCCACATGGCAGCTCACAACTGTCTGTAAATTCAGATCTCCAGAATCTGACACCTTCACACCAATGCATATAAAATAAAGTTAAAATAAATTTAAATAAAATAAAATGTGGCTTAAAAAAAAAAAAAAGCCGGCTGCAGACCCCACGCTCTTTCTCTGCTCCCTGCTCTGCTCTGTTCCCCTCTTCCCCCACCCCACCATCTTTCTCTCTCACCAGGCCTGGTCCCCCGTCCCCCCTTTTCTTCCTAATAAAGTTCTGAATACTGATACTGGATTCTGTCGTGACTGTGACCTTTCCCCACCGCCACCAGCGCCGATTATCATCCTTTCAGTAATATTTCTGGAACCCCTCTCACCACCCCTGGATGCCCCAGCAGTGGCAGACATAGGTTCCTTGAACTGAGTGGTCCTAGCGCCTCTGGGAAACAATACGGGAGACACATGCAAGATCAAGGTGGCCCTGAAAGTATTCATTCAAGCGCATCTTGAGAAAGCATCATTTCATTCCCATCACACAGGACAGCTTAGGTTCCAAATGGGAAATTCTAGCTCCGTTTACCCAAGCATTCTTGCCTATGCCACCTTGCCTCTCTGCAACTCAGCTATTTTCACCATAAAATGGAAATATCTCCAGGCAGTGGTGGTGCACACCTTTAATCCCAGCACTTGGGAGGCAGAAGCAGGTGGATCTCTGAATTCGAGGCCAACCTGTTCTACAGAGTGAGTTCCAGGAAAGGCGCAAAGCTACACAGAGAAACCCTGTCTCGAAAAACAAAAACAAACTGACAAACAAAATATAAATATCACTTTGTCCCCAGCAAGAGACCTAAAAGGATCCACAATCTTGGTTATAAAGAGAACTCAGCTCTTTCCATCGGGGCCCTATAAGACAACCAATACAGGCACTTCTTTGCCAAACTCTGGGGAAAAAATTGTTTTTATGGTGATGCAGTTTGAATCAGGACC